GATAAATTAAACGTTTGAAACTTTTTTAGAAATAGTATCAAATGTTTAAATTTATAATAAAAAATACATACCTACTTAAAAAAAATTAAATATAATATTTAATTTATAGATAATGTGTTAAATTTAACCGATCATTATAATTAATTTTTGATTTTATTTAAAGGCTTCCCATTAAATAAAAACTTTAAAAAAGATCAACGATTAAAAGTTATTTGTAATGTAAGGATTTTTTTAAATTGCATTTAAATTGTAAAAACATCAAAATAGTCGTTGTCAAGTTGAAAAGAATTAAGAAAAAGAAGTGTTATCAGTTACAGTGTGAAAATTAAAGTCTGTCTAAAAAACCTAAATATTAAATTGAAACTATTTAATTAAAGAAATGCAAAAATCTGAGATGAAATATTTTGAATAACTAACGTTATATAAACTGGATAACATGACCGAGATTTCGATTGCAAAACTTGTTTCCATAAAACTGTAAAAATTGTATTAAAAAAATTTGATTAGACACTGACCCAAACAAATTTTGTTGGGATATTTTGTCTGGGACTTAAAAAATTATATTGAGTCTTGTATATATATATATATATATATATATATATATATATATATATATATATATATATATATATATATATATATATATATATATATATATATATATATATATATATATATATATATATATATATATATATATATATATATATATATATATATATATATATATATATATATATATATATATATATATATCAGGGTGTAAACCAGCATATTATGGAGGTAGATATTTTTTTACTTATGGAAGTTTTTTAAGTACCGCACACTAGCCATGCATTTGCTGCAGGAATGCTCCAAAATCTACGGAGAACTAGAAACCATAGTTCCAGTGTGTCCAAGTGTAACTCGTTGGACTGCACACGATCGAGCTTGTTTAGTTGTGATTAATAATGACCTGTATTTATAAGTGTTTATGCTAATTGTATGTTTTTAACTAAGTTACTCATTATATTTCCTTTGAGTGTAGCTTGCGTTGAAAGATTTTTTTCAAAATTAAAAATAGTTAAAAACCGTTTTCGAAATCAGCTAAGCCAAAGCACATTAAAAAGCTTGATGATGATTGCAGCAGAAGGTCCAAAGGAGTGTTTTGACGACGATTTGTTAGAGTACTTTTTCGATGAGTTAAAATGTAAAAATCAAAATATGAGAATTAGATTGTAAATTTATAATATACAACGTAAATCTCATATTTTTTATTTTTTTTATTTGAGACTGCAGACAATTGGTGAATATTTAATGTTTGTAACTTTTTTCACAGAAAATTCACGGTGACTTCTTTGTATTCCAGCAGTGTTTTTACAATTTGTGTTTGTAGCAATTTACTCAATTTTTATTTGGATGCAAAAAAAAAAGATTTTTGTTCCTAAACTTTAGAGCTAAATGGTTTTAATAATCAGTCAATAATAAACAAGTTTTCTTATTGCTTTAAACCCAATTGTTACCTAAATAAACAAGCCAGTACGTTGAGAAATGCTTGTTTAAAACGCGCGTGAAACCAGCTTATCAGAAAGTGTAAAAATTTAAATTTTACACTTATAATAAAAAAGTAAATGACTAAGAAAGAATTCTATATTTACAGCCATACACTGTTGTTGTAAATAATTGTTTAAACTTTTTTAAAAAATATTATAGTTTTTTTTTTTTTTTATCATATTAAATATTACTTAAAATAATGATTATTTTAATTATTATTATTTAATAGCGAGTTGCGCAATAAAGTAGATTTAATTATTATTTATAAAGAATTTAAGTAGACCCAATATATCGTTAATTATTTGTCACGCTAATTATTTGCAAATTATAAAACGTCACATTAATTATTTGCAAACGTCACGTTAATTATTTGCAATAATAAATAATAAAACGTCACATTAATTATTTGCAAACCAAATTAAACCATGTCACATTAATTATTTGCAAATAACAAATAATAAAACGTCACATTAATTATTTGCAAATAATAAAAGATTGTTCTTGTTTTCTTGCTACCAAAGAAAAGACGCAATATAAATATGAAAAAGATTATAAAGATTGCTTTGGAACAGAAACAAGTGGAAAATTAATCAGGCAAACGGCTAAGGGAAAACCCAAACATAACATTTATAACTCGAGTTTAAAAGAACTTTTTTGTATTGACGTTATTTATCAACTTGTAGTTATAAAACGAATAATGCGCTTCTGTAAATAATGAATGAAACTGTAAAATAATGGAAAAAGAAAAACTGGAAAATAATGCGCTTTTATTCAGCGTATTATTCAGACCAGTATTTGGAACTGGAACTTACCTGAAACTTAACTGAAATTAAAATAAAATTATATGTAATACAAACATTTTAAAGAAACTTGAATTAAATTTATTAAATCTTTTTTTACTTTGGAAGTTTTATCATAAAAAAAATTGTAAAACAGGGCATTTTAAAATTTTTTAATTTTAAAATGC